TGTATGTTATGCTGCAGGGATAATTTTTAGAGCATAAAAAAACATGTCAACCCGTGCACGGGTATTGGACCAGTGAAAAACGTAACGCGTGTGGAGCTGGATTCACGTAGGTATGTAAACGAAAGTTTTTATTCAGTCTGTTTGCATGTGCTTGCGTTTTGTTTGTTTTTTTTAACTTGTGGCACATTTTATATGTGTATAGGGACATCGAAATCGACCATTTGCCGGGAAGCAGTCGACCAATTTATGACGTAATTCACATACCAAAATTGTTTTTATGACGTTAGAGAGCATCGTAGTCTCAGTTTACAAGTCACAGTGTGCTTAGACTCATACTTCACTTGTGCTTACGTAAGAACGGTCTTGATAATTTTTTAGAGACGGTATTTTATAAAGTTTCTAATGTAAGGAAGAGGTGAAGCATGACTTTGTGCTTACTTTAAGAATTTTCAAGGAACCGGACACTGGTCTATTTGTATGTTATGCTGCAGGGATAATTTTTAGAGCATAAAAAAACATGTCAACCCGTGCACGGGTATTGGACCAGTGAAAAACGTAACGCGTGTGGAGCTGGATTCACGTAGGTATGTAAACGAAAGTTTTTCTTGCCTCATATATTGAATTTTCCATACTTTATCGTGGCCTTGTGTATATAGTTGATTGTGTAGCGCGTGTAGAATGTGCTCAAATGCAATATTCTGCTTGATTCGTTTCACATCTGCCCAAAAATCGATTGAAAACCTCGACTGGGCCGAGAAGTTCATGGAGTGAAATTAACGCCATCTAGCTATTATCGTACGTCGGATTGCGAAACCGCGATTTAGAGGACACGAAAATGAAAATATGTTCATCTTCGTACCGTTGTAAAAGGTACACGTTACGTGTTGTGACAACTATCGGTATTTTTTAATTATCGAAATTCCTTTTTATTCCGCATTATAAAAATTCAATTGTAGCAAAAAATAATGTCTGAATACAACGCATATATTTGATAACACCAAGTCAAACCCCAATGTCCAAAAATATGTATAACCCGTTTTGGTTTTAATTAAGTAATTAACTTCCTTGTGTAAGCCGTTTTGGTTTTAATTAAGTAATTAACGTTATTGTTAAAGGGATTTTTTTGACGCCGCTGTAGTTTTGTTTTTGTTTTCGTTAACGGATATCTGCATCACTACCAATCAGGAACCCATTTTACAAAGCATACGAAAGTACAACTAAATTCAATAGATGTATTACAGCAAAAAATTGTTAACCATCTGAACTCACCGAACGAGAAAAAGTATCGGATGTTCTAAATGTTGGATGTACATGCACTTGCGTTTGCCATGTGGTTTGTGAAACGGGACCATAGATTATATTTTTTTTAAAAATAAGGGACATCATGCTAGAGCTAAATCTGCCCCTTTTCTGGCTTCAAATTTTATATAAATTATATTTTAGATATTAATTAACGTGACAAACTCACAATCAACTGAGTGGATAAAACAATAACAGTCAGCTCTTTATCAAAATCTTGCATAATGCATCTTTGAATGAAATGGGGTATAACATCCTACTATGCATCTTTAAACAGCAGGATGTAGTGAACAGTGATAAACAAATATGGGAATTCGATTATCCGGTCAATAAAGGCATAAACAAAATGCCCTTAATATAAAAATAATTCTAAACAAGGAATAATGCAGAATAGTATATTATTCAAGGAAGGGCGAGAAAGCAAGCAAATCAAGTTAACTCAATACAATACAATACAATACAATACAATACAATTCAATACAAAACAATACAAATTTACAAACACATAACAATAACAATATATAGTGTTGAACGGCTTAGACACAGAAAACTAAAAATAGTTCAAGGATGCCCCAATTCCAATCTGATTAAAACACAGATCTTATTTAGTTTCTTTTTTTTCATAGTTCAAAGTTTCGTTTTACTTGTTTTCACAACACTAGGACCTGGAAGAATTGTTATAATATAACCGGCTTTCTGCTTGATGTGAGGAATTAGCCAATGAAACGGTCTGTTACGGCGACTTCTTGGCGTGTCATGCACGGAACTGTGGGCAAACCGCTGATTGATTAATCAATGTCTGATGTCATAAGGTCTACAGCTGGTCAGATCTTCATGTAGTAGAAGCCATCAAAAATATTTTAAAAAATGAAACGAAATATAGATCTGTATTATAATCAGATTGCCCCAATTCCTATTATTGAGAGAGGGTACACCCAATTAATAAAAATCATCCTATATGTTTAGATTCTATATAGATCATCATCATGAGATTTTTGTTATTAAACTTCGGCATGCTCATAACTAAGGTACATAACTCGTCGGGTAATTTTTTATTTTGGCATACGTTTTCATGATACTGATACTTTTAAAATTAAACTTTGACATGATCATATCTAAGGTATTTTATAAGTTTTAAAATCATCAAGACGTTTTATATTGACTATGTCAGTCTCATAACTAAGGGGCATAACTTTTGACGACAAATGACATATTATATTGTGATCATAGTCAAGGTGGGTATATAAAAAAAAACTTTAAGCTAAACGGAAGAGAAACATATGTATTAATGATATATTATCAACTGGGATTTCGCATTACATAGGAAATGTTAACAACAAAAAGGACCCGAAAGATTCCTCAACTGAACTCTTGGAATTTTAAAAACAACTTCAGAAAACGATTGCCACGATGGTTAATCAGGTATTTTTTGTTTGTTTGTCACTCTCATGTTTTTGGTGTTTTATTTTGTACGGGAAGTACAAAAGAGTTTTAAATATTAGGCCAACACTATATATTATATCTAAAATATTCAATCTCCTTCCAATTATAAATATAGCCACCATGCTAATATATCCGATGTTCACAGCCATTTCTTTACCAATGAACACACAGTTACACAGTACATAATATCTGAGCAAACATTGACAGAGTGAAAGATCAAAAGGAGTTGAAGCCATTTAAAGTGACATCGTGTTATGGATTTTGATTGGATTCAGCTTAAAATTAATACACATACAGACACATGCAAGTATCGTTATTGAAACATAGCATTTTAATAAAATTCAGAAGTAGACCATTTTAGTCTATTTGTATAATTATGTCTTATAAGGATTATGGATTCTGCTTGTATTTGTTATTTTCTTCTAACTTGGCAAGGTAAGAATGATATTCCTTCACATTAAGTAAATATTCGATTCATAGTTATTTGAATTTTGCAAAATTTAAACATGTTATAGATAGAAACATAGAATGACCCAAACTAAATAAAGAAAAACACAGCTATGAACTTACTTCATTGCAGTGTTTCGAATTTCATCAGTCAAATATCTGGCTTCTTTAATGAGGAAATTTCTTACTTCGTAGCACACTTAGGAAGATCTCGTGGCACACCTGTGTGCCGCAGCAGACTGGTTGAGAATCACTGAGTTAGAGATTTATTAAACGTTTGTTTGCTAAACTTAAATTAAGAAACACATATGGAAAAGTCATTTGGCCTTAATTACAAACTGGAGACTTGTATCTTGTGTGGGTAGATAACTCTGACTGTATATCAATACTACTAACTTCTGTATTATTCATACCAGTTTTAAATTCAGACAGTATTTCAATATATTTATTTATTCAGCATAAATGAGGTTTCTAATTTTATGATTGTTTTATTTTAATTCGATATTTCTTATATTATGATTTTGACACTTCGCCTTAGCAACCATGACTCAGTTTGATATCGCCCCTGCATAGTGCTATGTAATGCATTAGCACCAGATTGGAAACATTGCATTGGTTTATAAAACCACTTTCTGCCGATTAATAAATCTAAATCAATATGACCCAACGAAATTCTACTGATAAAATTGCATAGCAAATCATAATAAGGTTCTGCCGATTCTGTTTAGTTGGAGTAAACCCCCGTTTACATCTAAGGATTATCAAATCTACCCATATTTATAGTGGGCGCTACATAATGTAATAATTAATAGAGATACCGATAGTCAATTGATATAATGTTATTATGGAAAATCATGATACAGATTTTCTTGGGTTGGTAAAAGATATAGGTTTTAGATATCCAGATATGGTAATGCAACGATCTTCAGAGGAGGTCGAGATAATCTGTTCATGTGGATCACGAAGAGGCTTCTACTTTTGTTGCTTTTATAATACCTAGCTGACGAACTGGTAGTTAATATATCAAGTCCCGTTTCAGGCATGGGACCCCATGGATGGATATATTCGTGTTTTTTTAAAGCCAAAATATAACAAAGCACTGGAATAGATAGACATTTTTAATGCGTTTATAACAAAATGGATATTCGTGTTCAATATGAACCAATATTAAGCTACATAGTCGCTGTATTAAGCAATTATTGTCAACTTTAAACAATATAGTCGACTGTAATGAGCAATTATTGTCGACTTTAAACCAAGCTACATCACAAAACTAAACTGGGTGAACATATGTTAGTGCTAAATGATAAGGCCTGTTCAATTTTTTGTCATAGGTCACGAGACGTAAACAGGGCTAGCGCTAATCCCAACCCTAACCCTGGACCTAGTCTCAATACTTACCCTAACCCTAACCTACAATGTCGCCAACAATCACGTATCCTAACCTTATTTGCATCTCAACGACCTTGAAACAATTAAGCTGGCCTTAACAAACAGATTTAGCCGGTGAACATATTACTTGTGAACTTTAAACTAAAATAAAACAAGCCAACAGTGAGGCAGGTGCCCCCGCCTCAAACTGGGTCACCCCCACCCACCCCAAACAAAAGCATTAATTACTTGCTCTATTATATTTTTAACTATATCAAAAAATTAGTACCGAAAGCAGCCAAGATTGGGCGAGTAGATTAATGATTCCTACAGCATTAATTATCTTTTTATAAAGCATCGTACAATTGATAGCGGAAAATTATCATTGAAAGGTATTGATGCATTGAAACTCCAATTACATTGTGCTCCAAATCGTCGGTAAATCAAGTTGCTTAATCCAGTCAGGACATTCACCTAATGGATAACTACACTATGCTTGATCGTTCCAAAACGAGAAACAGACAGAGAGAACAACCTTGACTGGAACTGGATAGAGAGTAGTAACATCAAACAATAATTGAGAAAGGTGAGCTAATGGACTAGGAGATATATATAGTAATACTTGTTCAATCCAAACTGGATAAGATATTATTCTTGTCCAATATAATCCACAATAAAACATAAGCATAGTAAATAGACATAAATATATAATTTTAATCCAATTGCATTAAGAGAATGTCGCCGAGACATATGATTTTCTTAATCACCAGAAGATGTTTAATAAGCCGAAGCTCGATGTTGTTACCATTTAACACGTTTACGTTTATCAAAGTTATGCACCCGAGTTGGTGCTCACCCAGTAAATTGCATATGCAGTGGCTACACCAAATGGTGGCATAATGGTGGTTGCTAAAATGCAGTAGTTCATTCTAAAAAGGAATAGCATGAAATAAACCACGATTACAGGATCACGCTGAAGAAATACAGAAATCCAATTATAGATTGTCTTGATATAGGAGTTACAGGAATACAACCAGTAAGTTAGCAGCAGAATACTAAGAAATGAATTCATTTAGCATCTGCTATACGGCCACAGAAATCCACATTACCAAACGTATAGCATACCAGACTCCCAATTAGGAAAATAGTTGCAAACTAAGAGAGAATTTTAATGAAACCACAATGTCACTTTATGCAAGAGAATTATCCGTATGAATCACATTTAATCATCATCATTTTCATCCGTCCGAACATGTTATTCATCATTGCCCCCTTCCAACGTTCAAACATTCACAGTGGGAATGGACCTTGATGGGTACGAAACTAACCGGTGGACCTGTCAGGGTGGCTGAACTGTTGTAAACGAGAACCCAATGAGCACGGAATTTCTGTACACATTCACCATGACTACATGTCAAACCAGACCTGAAATGAAATGAAATGAAATTGGGTTAAAGGTCTGCTGCGAACTGGGCTAAAACCAGACCTACAATGCAACAAGCCTTTATAGAAATGAAATGAAATGGGGTTTAACGTCCTACTGTTCTGCTCCGAACTGGGCTAAAACCAGATCTACAATACAACAAGCCTTTATAGAAATGAAATGAAATGGGGTTTAACGCCCTACTGTTCTGCACCGATGCGGTTAATGAAGACGGGTATATGTCATGCGGGGTGCTATTAGGGAAAATGTGCTGGGACAATGGCGCTAGACCTTTTCTTATATCGATTTCCCACTTCCACGGGTTCTTTTACGTGTATGCCCATGCGTACCATGCCCGACCCTCCGTCCTGCACCACTGACAACGGGGGACCACGCCGGAAAATCGAGATGAACTTTCTAGCTCAACACCGGGATCGAACATGGGACCATTACCCGCTGAGCCACAAATGAGATTATGGGCTGAAATCAATACAAACTTATATTCAACATACATTATGCAAGAGCTAAATCTGCCCATTGCAGGTCTTCTTTAGGCCTAAAATGTTATCTAAATTATTAATTAGATATTTATTAACCTGACAAGACTATATTTAACACTCGGTGCCATCGTAAGCCAGTGATGTTAACTGGATTTGAATACTGGATAATTTAAAGTAAAACTGGATAATCGAGACTTGGTTTATAATCGCACCAGAGTTAGTAATGACGTTCGAGGCTAGCTTAAAATTAAATGGCTAATATCTCGGTTCAGAGTGAAGCAATTTTACTGAAATTGTAAACATATTCCCTTCTCATTTTCTATATTTTAACTATTATAGCGAGAACTGTCAGCTCCTTATCTCATCTTGCCTAATGCCCTGCTTACTCTTCCGGACACCTGTTACCACTGTTTGTCGTGTATTTTGTACACGAGGAGCAGTCCATTTGCTGATTACACTATTTTGCTTGAATACACTATTTTGCCTATAACGGTTTTTAGGACTTCGAATTCTGTCTTATGGTTTGGATTGTTCGTACTTGGTTTTATTTTATTTGGATTGTTCGTACTTGGTTTTATTTTATTTGGATTGGAATTGGTTTCTTCTGGGTTTTTTTAGGGTTTTTCTTGGGGGGGGGGGGGCTTTTTGTAAGACTCCCTTTATTATATACGGTTTGAAAGTCTGTATTGTATTTTGATTTAAAATATTGGGGCTCTACAGACAGTTAATTCTTCATTAATTTAGAAATCCTCAACTTACAGTTTCAAATAAAAACCTTTCAAGATATAAGCAGTTATTTTCTTTCATAATCACATGCAATTAACTTATATATCTTTGCCCAAAATACATTATATCAATACATAGCCTGCTGTTGTTTATAAAATATTTACTTTGAATTTCTATTTTGTTTATTATCTCCCTTTAATTAATGAAAGCGGCTTGATTCACAATCGTTTAACTCTTAAAAAGACGGGACAAGGGGGACCACGCCGGAAAATCTGGATGAACGTTTTCGAACACCGGACCGCCAGGCTAGCGAGCCAGCGTCTTACCCACTTAGCCACCACGACCCCCCTAAAGAGCTGACAGTTCTCGCTATAATATATAAAAAACTAGATAATGCAAAGGGTATATGATGAACATTTTAAAATCTTTGTGGACTCAGTTGTCATTTTTAGCACTGTCACGATAATCACGATAATTAACAAAGTCTCGATTATCCATTTTTGCGTTTAATCATCAACAGACGTTAAACAGCATATCGGATTCAAATCCAATGAAAATCGAACAGATAAGATGGCATCGAGATTTGATTATGGTCTTTGTTACAGAGTGGCAGATGTTATAGACGCTTCGTGCCATCTTGACACGTGAAAGCGATTTTAATATCAACATATCAACCTGTCCGCTATCGACATCCCTGGAGGTCTTGGTAGCATTCCTTATGTCATTACGTAACCTTAACTTGTTGTTGGCATGTTTTATTAAACTATCTTTGTCTGATAAGCCAACTCTACTGAATGTTAAACCTGATATAATACATTAGCCAGATGTCTAATGAGATCATTTGTCTTGAAGGGTTTATAAACCCAGAAGGGAAACGACATCGGCAGTCAGGTCCGGGCAAGGACGTAGAAGACCGGAGGCCATGGGCGCCTTGGAACGATAGGACACGGAAATAGGGAGAGCGTCTGGGAGTTGGCCTGCCAACCTAGGACATGGCTACCTCAGTACAAGTTAGTTCTGGGTGTCCTTAACATTACGATGTTTGTAACTGATATGTAAGAAGCAGAGAAAAAAAGTATTATAAGGTGTTAAACTAGTCTTGTCACCTGAACCTGAATTAAACACCTAATACTGTCACATCTTTAATTTTCATGTTAATAAATCTCTAATTAATAATTTAGATAACATTTCATGCCTAAAGAAAGACCTGTAATAGCCAGATTTACCTTGTATAATGTCTATTTAATGAGGTATCTACAACAAGGTTATATTGTCCAATAGACGTCTTCGTTTCTTATGCTACAGAAAACGTCTCGTGGCTGAAAGCCTAGCTGCTATCCCTTGTCTTATAGCATTGACGGCTTATATCCTTTAGGTTACTCTACTAGCTACACGATGTGAATATTTCATGTCCATTGTAATCCGTGAATAAGAAAGAGACTTACTTGCATCTCCCTGTTGGTATGTACTGAAACATCCCTTTTAGATGTACCACTGTATAGTTACGATTGTTGATGGTGGTGATATTAGGAGAAGCATAGCGTACTTCGCTGAAATAAACACATTATTGTAAGGATTTGGCATGACGGAATAAATAGCCGGTGTACTGACGAACTGACGAATCTGGTATATCTAAAATACAGCAGATTCGTCGGTTGGTGAATAAACCGCCTCAATTCTGAAGCCGGGTGTACTTTGTTCATGGTCTCCGCGAACAAAGGCGGCCATCCAATTAATGGTGCTTTACGTCCTTGTGTTCTGCACTGACTGGGCTAATGAAGACATGAAGACAAGACAAAGACATGCGCCATACAGTGTCCTACTCGTATCTCGATTTCCAACTGTCAACGGTTCTTTTACGTGGGCATCAATGTGTCCACGGGATCTCGGTTTTTCGTCCCATTCGAACGATTATACGTTGTCCCTTGTTAGACCCTCCGTTCGGCACCACTGTGTTAGTCCCGAAATTACCTAGTTTGAGTCGAGTGGACACTTTATTTTTGTGTGCTCACCGTTGGTGAATCTCGACCACCATAAAGAATTGCACTGGCTAATCCATATAATACAGCGCATCCTTGGACCTATCCTACAGCCCCATCGTTTGGTGCGTTTACTCACTTGACTAATGCTAGGTTCCCACTATCACGATTCATGCTGCGATTGAAATTGTGGTTTTAATCGTGGAGTTGTCGTGGTGATCCTATCAGATCTGATCATATATTGGGGTTTGTCTTAGCAGGGATAATCCTATCGTAACTCATCGCACGACAGTTGGACCTAGCATTAACGATGAATTGTACACACTTACGTTTCGCAACATCCATAGTGAGCACGGGTTGGTGTGGCATACGGGTTCTCGGCAGCTCTCGAGCTACTTCTCATTGTGGTTGTATGTTCGTCACCTGGAATAAAACCGGGAAGACTGTCGTGGGCTGACGGTGGTGTTGCGCTGAACAATCCGGAGTAGAATTCAGAAATAATGGTATCTACTGGAACCGCTTGACGAATGCAACGACTACATTCAGCACTACAATTCCAGCACTGTTCCTGGCTAGCACAGATTACTGTTATCGCTGCCAGAATGATTACCCATTGTACACGTTTCTTTACTAGATCTGAAATATAGAATTAAAATATCATCTAAGAATCACGTAGCTTTAACGTATAGGTATACACAGGGGCCCCAGTTAAGTCTGCTGGATTCGTTCGTACGTGATGCAATCAGATTAACAATACAGATCCTATTTCGTTTCGTCTTTTATAGCTCAGAATTGCGTTTTGTCTTCACAACACTAGGATCTGGAAGGGTTGTTATATAACCCGCGTTCTGGTTGAAGTAAGGGATTAGCCAATAAATCGGTCTGTTACGGCGAGCTCTTAGCTTGTGATGCACAGAACTGGGTAAATTACTAGAAACGTCAACGCTAATAGATTAGACTATATGTCTATGGATTAATCAATGTCTTACGTCATAGGGTCAAAAGCCACTCGTATGACCCTGACGCGATCTTCCACTACAACCGGCCAGATATTCATGTAGTAGAGGCCATCGAAAACATAAAAAATACGAAACGAAATATAGATCTGTATTTTAATCAGATTGTTAAAAATTTGATAGTAATGGCTAGTTGTGCATTTTAGATCATACATTCTGACATTGCGTCAAGTGGCGAGGTGTTGATGGCAAGCTAGTGGCAAGGACAGGGTCGTCTGTCCAAACGGTCCTCCGTGTATACTCCACATGCTAACGACACCTACGCGTAAATATTGGAAAGCACTGGACCAAGTGCGGATCCTTGACGAATCCCATGTACCACCATCCATCCAATGGAATCGGGCTCTATTGGTGTGTTCATTTTTAGTAATACTCTAGTTAAGTAAGCTTCCGGGCACATTCTTGAATTATTTCATGTAAAATGTCTGCCAATCACTTTCATGGTATGATGTATTAAATCTGTCTATTTCTTTGCTAAATGCAAATAACCTCCTGAGGTTTGAAATTTCCAAAGCCCCTATTCGAAACAATATCTGAATGCAACTATTGTTGTTTTTTTGTTTAAAAAAAAGGGCTAATCGCTGCTGTTGGTGGTTCATAGCTATGAGAACTGGTATGATGCTACAGCTTATCGCTCATTGGCGAAGATGGTCGAACTTCTACGTTTGCACACACAAAAAAAATTGTTAGAAATACCATCTTCGGCATAGTGAAAGATATCTACCATCGTTGTTGTTCAGAAGCGCAACTGAATGGTCAGAAGGGATATGGAAAGTGTACTTAATGAAAGAAGACAGCGATGGTTGCACACGTATCCATAAAACTGATCATAGTGGGGTGTTGGTGGGGGAACCATTGACGGTTGCACAAGTACCCATAGCGTTTATCATATTGTCCTGGAACTTTTGACGGTTGCCCATGATGACCTGATCCTCCTCCAAGGACTCCATTGGAAAAAAAAACTAGTTTTAATTTAAGCAGGTTTTTATGGGTTATCCTCAAGAAGCTGATCATTCCTGACATCATTAAACTTTCTCATCTTATTATCATGTAACTTAATATATTACCACCTCTATTGTCAAGTGAATCCCCGGTTGTACGTGACAAGGAGTAGGGTCGCCTGTCCAACCTCGTGGGTTTTCTCCGGGTCCTCCGGTTTCCTCCCACTGCTAAAGAACCCTACGCGCAAGCGAATCATTGAAATAAAATTAAACCATATGTTAGTCCCGAAATGACCTAGTTTGTGTCGAGTGGACGTTAAACCCCATTTCTCTCTCTCTCTCTCTCTCTCTCTCTCACTCTCTTGTCATGTTTGATATGCCTCTTGGAAAATAAATAAATATAAACCAGTTTGTATGTATGTCCTGTTATAGTTCATTTAAAATACCATGGCAACGAACGAATTGTATAACCTATCTTATATGTATTTTTATGAATGAAGACGTCATCATGAACTAAATGTAAATATTCACGTAACAACATACGTAACAGCCATATTAACCAATCACTGTGAATGTACTGCTGACAAACAGTAAACAAACAGTATGTCGAGTAAAGTCATTCATAATTTCATCCACGACAGTCCTATAACTAATGTTTGCTTCCGCCTCAACGTTATGTAAACCTAATTTTTAAGAAGACACTACCGAGTGCATTATATTTGCGGTTATGTCATTTTAGAATATAAAACATTCTTTCACCTTGGCCATGTATCCAGCAATGCAAGGACAATTAAATGACATTCAGCAATTTTTTTTTTTCATATCAATGTTCTAATCTCAAAGCTCCATTTTTATTTATTAATTCTTAAAAATGCAATAAACATAATAGGATTATAGACATAAATGAAATGAAATGAAATGAGGTTTAACGTCCTACTGTTCTGCTCCAAACTGGGCTAATGAAGACGGGCATACGCCATACAGTGTGCTATGAGGGAAATTTTGCCCGGACAGCGGCACTACGGCCTACTCTTATGTCGAATTCCAACTGTCAAGGGATCTTTTACGTGCACGCCAATGTGTACACGGGACCTCGGTTTTTCGTCCCACCTGAACGACTAGACAGCTGTCTATGAGCGTTGAGCAGCGGATCGGATTCAAATCCGACACAGAAGATGATTATGGTCTGGATAAGTTAATTAATGTCCAATTAATAATTTAGATAACATTTCAGGACTAACGAAAGACCTGCGATGGGCAGATTTAGCTCTTGTATAATGTATACAATAGATGTATGTCCATTTTACTAAAGTCCATAAGCCTATATTTTGGGCCCATAACCTGCATAAGGCATTCTGATTAAAACACAGATCTATACTTCGTTTCGTTTTTTATACTTTCGATGGCCTACACTACATGAAGATCTGACCGGTTGTGGTGGAAGATCGCGTCAGGGGTCAAACGAGAGACTTTTGACCTATGACGTCAGACATTGATTAATAAATCAGCGTTGTCGTTTCCAGTGGTTTACTATAAAAACGAAACGAAATAGGATCTGAGTTTTAACCAGATTGTGCATAAGGTAGCAACACATTTTAAAAAAGCACATAAATTATCTAAATTTGATAGTTTTGAGCTAACATAGATCAACTTCCAGGTAGGATTGTATTCAACATTTAAGACTAAGGCGTAGAATTTAGTCATAAAACTAAAGATAAAGTAAGAAATTGCAAGCGATCTCAATGGAAAACCCATTTAATTTTATTTCATGACAGCGGAATATTTATTTGTGTGAACGGCCAAGATGAAAACTGCACTGATAAAAATAGTTTGTCCCATATACAAAACTCTTTCGATAGACATGGCATGGTTAAAAACGATTTAACTCGAATACGGAAGCCAGGAGTCGCTGGCTCGCTATCCAGGGGTCGTGGGTTCAATCCCGGTGTTGACCGAGAAAGTTCATAGGGATTTTCCGGCCCTTTTCTTCTTGTTAGTTGTGGAAGGGTCTAGCTGTCTAGTCGTTCGGATGTGACGAAAAACCGAGGTCCATTGTACACATGGACGTGCAGGTAAAAGATTCCATGGCACTTGGAATTCAATATAAGAGTAGGCCATAGCGCCGCTGTCTGGGAACAATGTTCCCCATAGTACACTGTCTGGTGTATGCCCGTCTTCATTATCCCAGTCGGAACAGAACAGTAGGACGTTCAACCCCATTTTGTTTCCTATCTGGAATGCATCGACCTTGGTAATGGAAACAACGATCCCGTTCAAATAAAAAAAATGTTGATAAATGGGCTATGCGTTTCTTTTTTTTTTTTTTTTTTTTTTTTTTTGGACGAGTATATTTTAAATTGTCACTGATATTAATTTATTTGTGACGACAACTACGTCCAATCGTTTCCAGCACATTAACTTACGTGAGAAAGAGAGAGACAGAAATGGGGTTTAACGTCCATTCGACACAAACTAGATCATTTCGGGACTACTATATGGTTCAATTTCATTTCAATAATTCGCTTGCGCGTAGGGGTCTTTATCAGTAGGAGGAAACCGGAGGATCCGGAGAAAACAAAAAAAATTGGACAGGCAACCCTACTCCTTGTCACGTACAACCACGCAAATTGACTCAATCACAGACCATCCAACCTATGTGGGGACCAACGAAGAACAAGATAATAAAAAAAACGTGACCTTCATCAAATGATTAATAGGCGGAAATAAAATAAAAACTTGTTAGACAGCACCGAAGGATATATATCTTGTAATAACCCCGCCTCCATTGGTCCGTTTGGTGCAGAAAGGTGAGACATTAAACGTTATTTCATTTACTCATCTTAAAAGAAACATTTAAAAGTACACCAATGTGTACGCGGGACCTCTGTTTTTTGTCCTGCACCACTGACAAGGGGAAGTCACGCCGGAAAATCCCGATGAACCGCTCGGCCAACAACCTGGTTCCAATTATGTATTAAATATGCATTATGCAAGAGCTAAATCTGCCTATTGTAGGTCTTTCTTTAGGCCTGCAATGCTAGCCTGCGATATTTACTGAATTAGGATCCGATTTGCTGCTCAACTTTTATTCATGATGGTCGAAGCTAGGCCGAAAATTCAATCGCTAAATTCTCGGTTCAGAGTTGATCAATTTGACAAATTTTCAGCGACTACCCTTTACATTATCTAGTTTTCAACTATTATAGTGAGAACTGTCAGCTCTTTATCTAATCCCCCTTAATGTATCTTTTCAGCAAATTCCCTTTACATTATCTAGTTTTTAACTATTATACTGAGAACTGTCAGCTCTTTATCTAATCTCCCGTAATGTATCTTTAAGAAAATATTAGATTATGCAGATATTTATACACGGAAATACTGATTTCCTTAAAGTAGCTAAGTCTCTAACTCAATATCATCAAAAATCTTCGACATTGAAAACACGAATTATTTGTCAATTCAAATCACATTGGTCCTGTGATCTTACAAGGAAAAGATGGGCTTCTGATATCCATTATTCAAGACAAAATAAACATTTTACCATTGGTACACGAATCGTGTACCATAATGCGTTTCAGCGCCATTTGAACAGGGCTAGACATATTCCACAAGTCATGTCAAATGGTGACGCTATATTCTTATCCGGAGAGCATACGCAA